ACATTATTCACACATGGACCTGCAAAAAAAACACTAAAATTCAAACCCTCGGTGCACGAGAAACGAAAAGATCTTACTTCATTAGCATTATCCACAAAAAGTGAGATGTAAGTATGTTACACAACAGAATTTTAGCAATTTTTTGTATGTGGTGAAGAAAAGATTTTCTGCCTATATAGTGGACAAACAGATTAGACAGGTGACAGACACTACTCCTAGTAGAGTGTTTATTTGGTATTGGCTGGATATACTTATAAATGACCAAAAACCTTTGTGCTACAACCGGCATCATCCGTTTGACGGATATTAATGAAAAATGTGATGCGGTTGAACATTGGATCAATGCAACACTGACACTAGTTGCTTATGTAAATTCTCCTCCACACAAGCCCTCTATTATCGCGAAGCATGTGCAGCTATGACTCAATTATGAAGCATGTGCATTTCCAACCCTCTAAGACAGCTACTTCATTACAGTTGTGAGACTATGTTCTGCGCAGTGCATTCTTTTCTTCGAGTGTGTATGTCTAACCTCAACACTCACTGAAATTTACAATGTGTCCCTTATTCATCATTGTCCATACAATGCCTACTCCTTCATCCTTACACCATTCAATAAACAAAGTGTCTTCTTGCTTATTGCTTATTACACAGTAGTTCCGCATAAGCATCCTGTAAGTGACAACATGACCACATTCTTGAATAATCAAAGAACCACTGAGTTCTGGTAACTTTCTCGAACTCGTCTTGGAAAATGAACGGGCTCAGGCAAAAAGCAGCTAGCACTTTTACAGACCGATGTATGGTATACCAAGTTTTGAGCTGCAAATGTGTCGCGTTTCGTTTGTTCAGCTGCTTCGTGCGAGGGGTCCTATCACAACTTCTACAATATAGGCTTGGTAAAAATTTTTTTCTGCCCCACTCTGAGCCTAAAACTAATACCAGTCTGTATCTTTACGGCAGTGGAATGCGGTCCTAAACATTCACCTTCACGAAGCTTACATGTGGTGAGCAACCATGTATGCCATGGGTGCTGTCAGTGAGCACCTGAGACTTAGAAACTCACACAGTTATCCCGGGCAGTAGCAATACTGAAACCCCTATGGGCCTGAATGTATGCGCATGGTTCGAATCCCACCTGGGGCAGGTCTTCATTTTCCTCGAAAAAATGGCTGTCCAGGGTGCAGTTGATTTGTTTGTTGTGCATTTGCCGTTCTACCTTGTAGTTTAGTTCACTTGCAAATCCTCTGAACGCTGGATTACTTAGTAAATTAGAGAGAATTAGTTCCCTGAGGGATTAAACACAAGTTAAATTAAAGTGCAAACCCTCGGCCAACCGCGCATGCGCGGTGTCGCTAACGGATGGGCTGGGCTATTAGTATGCGTTACTCGTCGTTTCCGCGCTAGTAGTTCGCGAGAGTCCGACACAGGCTAGCGACAGTGTAAATAGCATGCGGAGGTCGATACACGCCCTTCGTTGTGACTTCCTGTGTCTTCAAGATACACAAAGCGAGCGGACCCGGTCGAGGTAACCCTGTAATAATCAGCAATTGGCTTCTTGACTTGGTTTTCACGACATAACTTTTGAACGCAGAGCTTTTACGATAATCGGCATTTAAAAAATGAAGCCAGTGTAGCGCTGAACCCGCTGGTGGCCCTTTTTTACCTGTTTGTTGCATGTGGTGGCAGAAAACGTGGTAACAGACTGACAGACAGACAGACGGACAGACCTAGTACTGTAACCCTCGCTGCACATGCGCGCCGAGGGTTAGTAAACAGAAGCAGTGTTGCTGTGTAACAGGCAGTGGGAGTGCTTCTGTTTTTGATACAATATTGAGGCTGGAAACGTGAGTGTGAGCAAAGGAAGTGAATAAGTGTGTAATTGTATTTCATCCACGTATGTTAACAGTATTATTATGCTATCGATTCCTACTGTCGAAGTGTGACCGAGTGTGTATTGTGGGGTAGTAGTAGGAGCGTACAGATGTATACATGCGTCAGTCTGCTAGGCCTGTAATACAACCTCAGAGTATTGACTTACGTATGTTGGAAACTTAATTGACAGTGTGGCATGTAATAGCTGCAACCAATTTTGTAAGGGATTGTAGTACACAGCAACAAAGCTCGGAAGCGTTAGTTGAGATACAAGAAGAGGAACTACTGCATGATGACTGACTAAGAAGGGAATTACAAGTGTGTGTGGAGAGATAAATAAGGTTGTGATTGTGGCTCTTCTGTCAGTGATGAGTCCGTTTTGACTGCACCAGACTGGGTCTGCGCGTGTAAATGAATAATAAAACGAAGAAATGAAAACGCACTTTGTGTTCAAAGACTTTCAGGATGTGTATACTATACCTTGCACGAGCTGTGATTGCGCAAAGATGGCTGTACAGATGAAACACGATTCGGTTCCAGTTTGGAACTTGTTAAAGAAGATTCTATATTTCGGTCTTCCGCTCGTTTAGCTGAGAAAGTTAAGGAAGTCAGGTTGCCCAAGATAAACGTGTGCATGCATACGTTTATTGTTCCTCCACATACTGGACACAACTGTATACTCCTATCGCATTTCCATCTTGAGGTCTTTCCTGCAATGTCCTATAATTCTCTAGGCACATTCGCTCACCACAACTGCAAGTTCTTGGTATGTATACTATGTACATAGTAATAATTTCTTACCCTGCCTCATCCGCAGATTGCTGCATAAGTGACTCGACCTGATCCTAGAGAGTAGACAAACATAGCAACACGGCAAAGATAATAGAAAATATAACGGCTATATGTTCCACAGGTGCCATTAAATTTTGGTGGGCAAATAACGTTAAAGACTGCATTGCATTTCCAATGGATAAGCATTGAATTTAGAAAAACAGCTTGACCCAGCAGTAGCGCCTGGTATCGCGGTTAAGTCGTGCAGAACAAGTTTCTCATGCCAACCGTTGCGGCATGCTCCCTGCGAGTGTTCTCGACTGTAACAGCACTTTTAGTCTCCATGTGTGCCTCGATCATACAGGCCCATGTTCCTGGTCGATGCCTTTTGAATCACCCACAAATACAACAAATTATACATAGTATGGAAGCACATACTTTGTACGTGATAATAATACTTGGGGTGTGATCTCGTAGGCATAGAGTATATACAAGAAAAGGGTCTGCGTGTTTCTTCTTTGTGCTAACTCATCATTGTCGAGTGCATCCGAAGGAAGGCCCGTTTTGGTGCGTGGACACGCAAAGTTCACAGAGCTACATTATGACAAATTGCATAAAATATTTAGCTCTCACTGCAACTGCAATCTGATTCCTGTGTCTTAGAAAGTAAGACTGTCGAGGCAGAGCTACAAAGAAATCGCTTAATAGTCACTAGACCCTTATTCTCGCATGAGGGAAGGGTCTGGGCGAGTACTCAGCTGCACCTAGTACAGTACGACTATCTCGACAACACCCTACATACAACTATTACGTAGTTAGATCGTATTATGACGTCAGATGTGCTATGAAATTTTATGTCATTAACGACCAATTTAATATGAGCTATGACTCGGATATGAACTTCGAGCGTCCTTTTGTAGTGATCCTGCATGAGCCAGACTTGTCTCAATGGCTGAAGCATGAGCTCGACCAACTCACGCTACCTGGTAAAAAGCCTCAGTTCCACGTAATACGTACGGAGACATGAGTCTGGACCAAACAACAGCATTAGCAGGCTACCTGCAGTTCTACTGCGGAACACTGTGCAATGCTTTACTGTTTAATTATGCACTAAAGCGTCTTCAATTGGCCACCAAATACAACTACGAAAAAACAGTATATACCTCAGGAACAGTTAGTGTTGTCACTCCACTCATTGCTTCTTCCATTGTTTGGGTCTGCACATCCAAGTGTTCAAACTGACGTTCAAACTTGTCCATAATACCAGCCACCTATAAAGAGCTGATAGTCACAAACTAAATACAAACAGAAATCAAAGACCACCTTCTCCAGATCCATTGACTTCAGGGCAGAATCCATAGACTTTACAACCCCAGCCATAGAGTTAGTAACCTGCATCAAGGTGCAAGCTGTATACACAAAAGGACAGATGCTGCTGCAGAAAAGAGCACTAACTTCAGTTTTAGCATCGCATTAAATACTCCAGCACTCAGTGCCACACACTTGCGAACCCAGTACCATAGAAATGTAGTGCATGAACACCAAGGATTAAGCAAGCTGCGAAAAGTCCTGGTGCTTAACAACCCTTAAAACCTGCCCGTACATAGGCGAGGAGGACTCAATTAAGAGCAGAGTGCAATGTGAAAATGAATACTGTCACAGACAAAAAAGAGTGATTCCACCCGAATGCAAAAGTACAGCAGCAGACAGCCACAGGTGCAATGAAAGGGTGATGTGCAAACCCTCAGCGCAAGATGCTCGCACTGTTGAAGCAGCAGCAACCAAAAGTGAGCACTTACTGTACACTATGCACTACATGTGCACCCGCAAATTGTGGGGCGGTGCTAAACCACGCGATTACGGATGATTTTGGCTTCAAATTCTGTGTAGCAGCGTCAGCGACTAGTGTTTAGAAGAATGCTAGATTAGATACTCGTCCTCAGAGTAACTTCGTGGCTTCACAGTGCATTTAACAGACAGCATCGGTCAATACGCCATCGGATTGCATATTAGCTTTTGCACTCGTGTTTCATGCCACAGCTGTTTTCAGGAAAATCCATTGTTGCCGAGCGTGTTAGCGTGAGGCAACTACTCCGGGTTGTATTCTCGCGACATGCGTACGTACGTACGTATGTGTCGGTCGTGTCGGTCACGCTTAAGAATGTAAATTAGTCACGCTAAGGGAACGTCAATTAGTCACGCTTAGGAATGTCAACTTCCGTCATTCGTAAGAAGTCTAGCTTCCGCTGTGTGCACAGATTCGTAGGAAGTCTGGCTTCGCGCGCAGTCAGTAGAGCGCGTGCACGGGCGGCCTCAGTCGGACTGTTTACGCATTGGCTGGCAGGCGCGAGGTAAAATATGCGCGTGCGCATTCCTAGTAATATTCATACCCTCATTGCTCCGAAGGCGTTGGCACTCATTGGCCGTCATTGCTAGAATAGCAGTGATAGACAAACAGACATACAGAGAGACCAAGTACTGTAACCTTCGCTGTGCATGTGCACGTGCACTGAGGTTTAATAACACCCACCTGTCTCATTTGAATGGCAGACTGGACACGAGATGCTACACCATCAACACGAGCGCTCATTCTCAGAAAATTCAAACCCTGCATAAAACAGGTATCATGCACTAAAGTATCAAAAATAGGGTCAGTTCTTCATGTAAGACTAAGTTTTGAGTCACGAGATTTGCTGGTCAGCATTTTTTCATTGTTCTTAGCTCGTAACCCATGTTCATAACCTGTTTTTCTTATGGCATTGGGTAACCAACAACAAATTTCGTGACTCAAAGCTTAGTCTTATATGAAGTAACAAGGAAAAATAGCATCTGAACACATTATGTGCAGATTACTGAACTCCATCCAGCTTTAAGGCACTTTGACGCGGGCTGTCCATAAAACGTGTAATTCGTAACTTTGAATGAAGGTCAAGTGTGGTATGTGCTGCCACGCCTGTTCCACCTGGCATTTTACATGAAAAAGACAGAAGGCTAGTTCTAAACAGCAAGACAGACTTATACCTGGGAGAGCTTGACACGTATTAGTTAACGTATAGGCGGCGAGGCAGTACAGGAGATACTCCGAGGCTGTTAACTATACCGGACGAGGGAATAGCACTGTCTCTTGCCTTATGGCATGGGAAGATGACTTTGTGCAAGAATATCGAAGTAGGTTATCTTTAAGGTACCCCTAGACACCATTTGCAGTGATATCAAGGCGGGCACCTGCCTGTGAGTTGGCTGTGGACCACATTAATTCTTCATCAGTCACAGGCCAAAGCTGCAGCTCAATGCACACGTCATTGTACACTTCTGTGAGGAGGATAGCTGTCAGGTCCCGTATCTGCTCATTGAGCCAGACCGATGGGAAGCCACCTTTGGCACAGGACTGAGCGTGTTGAACTACAAAAGGGCACCGCAGACGTATCTTTCTGATGTCCAACAATATCACAGTGCCAGGACATCGCAGAAGCTCCTTTGTGCAGAGCAAAGACCATGCTCTGAAAGTGGCAGAGACAGTGAGCCAAGTGGGGATCCTTCTCACTTGCTAGTTTCATCACCGACCTCTGCAGGTTGTCTGGTAGGAGTTCTAACAGATTCACGGGCTGCCTTTGAGCGATTTTCCTTGTTTTTATTTCTAACAATGGCCTTGGATTCCAATTGCTCGGCAATAACTTGTACACGTAGGCCTCGTCTTGCATGGAAAGGATTGTTATTCCAACCCACCCATTCTCGCTGGCAAGGCGAACAGAGCATGCTCCGAGTCACCAGGTGGGGGCCTCCTGTAAGTGTTGGAATGAGTTTGGTTAGCAGGATGTCGTTGAGAGGCTTCAAGAGGTTGCTTATAGTGGGAACTGTACGGCATACGGCATAGGTAGGCCCACTTTCTTCAGAGACTGTTGATGATAGCTGAGTAGGCTGCATGTGGTTGAGTCTTTGCTATTGTTACAACACAATGGATAGCCAGGAGTCAACCCTTTGGGTTGAAGGATGTAGTTAGCACTGGCCTCTGGCTTGTTGGATGCTTACTGAGCAGCACATCTCTGACTGTTAGAGAGTCTGTGGTGCTTGTAGTCATCTAGGTGCAAGATGCAACCTCGCCAGTGTTTGAGAGAAGATCCAGGGCAGCCTTGCATTTTCCATCTAACTTCACAGTCGGTGAAAGACCAGCGATATTCCTCTGCATGACTATTTTGATGTGAAGATTTTTGGTAGCCAGCCATCAATTGCTCTGCCCTTTAGTAGCAAGTCGTTCAGATTTGCCTTCTTTCAGGATCTTAGTCTCCTCACAAGACAGGCGACATGTTCCTTGGCTTTGGAGGGTTTTTGTGGTTTTGCAGGAGGATTGAGAAGACTGTGGCAGCTTTAAGCGCTATTGACTCAAGAGCCAAGGCAGGGGCAATTGCTAAAGCTTTGATAGTTCACCGACAAAATGCTTCATTAATATGACTTCGGGTCTCATACATTTTTATAGGACTGAGAAAACTGTGCATTAATACAATTCGCACACACACCCTACAGTGCATGTCCTGTTCCATGATCTGGCAAGTCGGCTACATTGTATAAGGAACAGGACACGCTGGAATTTCTTGATTTTTCTAGCTGCTTGGCATAGTTAAAGCCTGAAGTTTAATAGTCAAGTACCCTCCGGTGACGGGCGACCTTCATTAAGGTTCGCCTAAATTGCGTGAGTGTCGATATTTTAGCAATAGCATGCTAAGATGCTCGTGAATTATAGTGAATTTTTGGTATCGTTCACAGGATTTTTAACTCCTTGCTTTACAAGTCATTAGCATATTGACATTCCTCCTCCATACATTTTTCACACAGGAGTGAACGGTCGTCTCCATTATGCACAGTAGCATTTTTCTGCCTTCTACGGTACGCGCAGGCGTATCAGAGCCAGTTAGAAAAAGGGTGTCGCCACGTTCTGAGTATTAGGCATTCGTGACCTTTGTCATGCAGGGGCTACCCATTTTTTCGAAAAGGCTCTATTATGCCTGCGCACACCGTAGGAGGCAGAGAAGGCCCACTACGCATAATGGCGACGAACCATTCGCTCCTGCTTAAATACAACTGATTCATCCTAGACTGGTCCATGTCAATCACTGGTGGTATCATAGCACCACCCGCAGAAACCTTCATGTCCCATCCATAATGACAAGTATATACATCTAGCTCTGTTTCACCATATGTGATAGGCTCTGAGAAAACGACCCTTATCACGCACGTAGTATTGTTGTAGTAGCGGCAGTTTTAACGACGAACTACGTAATTCACACGATTCCCGTTTTCCCCCCGTATTCTAGTAGCTCTGTCTATCGTCTATAATCTGCGCAAGTTAGACGCACTAACTCCGCTCCATTCCGTAGTTATGGCCCTGTGTATCAGGCAAGTATATACCGTTACTCGTGCCGTCGTACGCGGATTACAAGGAAACGTGACACGAGAATAATCAAACCCTTTACGGGAAACCTTTACGGGAACCCTTTACTACGTTTACCTAGCGGCGTACAATGAATGCGGCCGGATGCACGCATGCGCGCAATGTTGTACACGGACTGTTACGAGAATACGGAGGTTGAAATTTGACACCGGAAGTTTCAACTTTAGACGCGATTTTCACGTTAGATGCAGCGGAATGGCATTGCGCTTGTGCTCATAACTTCGCAACGGAACGGGCTACGCCCCTGAAACAAACGGCAAACTATAGAGTATTAATAGGACTTTCGGTCTAGTGTACAAATAGACTTTGCGGTTTTTTGCGTCATAAGGGTCGTTTTCTCAAGAGCCGGTCACATATTATGCAGTTGGATCTGCTTCCGAATGTAACCTTGGGGGATAAAAGATGGCAAAATAACTGAGCGAATGTTTGTCAGGGAAACGTGAATTCAGATTTTCTAAATGAAGGTATCTGTGGTCATTTAAACTGATCACGTTGCTAAGAACTGTCGGTAATGTGTCGATCCTTGAAACAAAAAGCATTCACCTGGGCTGCTGGGAATATCACTCAAAATGTTGTAAGCCTTGCCTGGGTGAATTTTTAAAAACCCCGAATTATAGCTTTGCAGACAATCATTGACTGAGGAAAAATCCTGCATTGCCATTGAAATGACTTGTACGTAAGGGAAGGCATATCGTCAACAGGTGAGTTGTTGCTAGAATGGAAAATAAGTGATGATAACCAGGATACACCCTTTGGTGTTGAATCAGTAGAACTATCACTGATTAAGTGACTCTAGGTTGTTCAACACGGCATGAACAGCTCCATTGAAGTAGAGTCACTTTGTGTGAAAGACCTGCTGAAACTTTTTCAGCGCACAATAAAGTATTGTCTGTAAGTGCTGCAATCTATTTCAAGGCTGCGGAGAATAGTAGTGTGGTCGGCTGATACCTTTCATTAAAACTTTTAATGTAAAGTACATTATCAGCAGCCTGTCTGCTAGCCAAAGCTAAAATTATTGACCAACCAAAGTTCTCTATTAAGCACGGAATATTATTATATATATATACCTGATTTTTCTGACGAATGGAATTTTCAGCATGAATTCTCGACCCTTCTATATTTCCCTTCTGCAATGCCTTAATAAAAAAAAACGTTAGTAATGTTGCATGAATGAGGACACTTATATGAAAGCCCTGGCGCAGAACCAGGGATACTTAAGCAATAATTTAAGCTTGTAGTGTAGCAAATACATGTAGCTTGTGCAGGCACAAGAATATTAGCAAACCTGCAATTTGCTGCATGAATGTAGCTAGCTCTAAAAATTGCATGAATAAACCTACTAGCAAGAATCAAACTCGGACCATCAGTACTGCACTCGGTTTTATCACACCTTAGGCTGCTGGCCATCTAGGCGGTACGCACGCATTGCGATCATTCCGCTACTGCATGCATGTTTTTCTAATCCTTGCAAGCTCACGCGTGTATCACAGGTACACGCATGTCAGTTGTAGATTCAAAGTGGTGGACCTTGTAACAGTAAACAAAGTGTTATCTAACTCTTCAGGGAAGCCCTACTAGAGACAACCGGCTTTCATGTCTTTACCATACTCCAAGAGCTAGTGTCCCTTGTTGCGTGTCATAGTGTGAGATGCGAGACTAGAAACCAAGTACTGTAAACCCCTCTAGAGCATGCGCACCAAGAGTTAATAATTAAAGTGACCTGTTAGGGTTCTGTAAACTGAAATGCGCAAAAGCAAAGAGTTGGAAGGGAGTATTCAACTCCTTAAAAGGAGTCAACACATTTTTGCCATTGACCACAACAGATGGTGCCAAAAATACATACTCACTAGGCTCAGCACACATAATGAAATACATTGTCCATAGTAGTCCAATTATATTGGGTCAACTCCGCTGAAAAGCATTTTCAGGGACAAATGTAGCAGGGACTATGTCCCCTTGGTGCACTCTGGCGACAGCCCTGCAGACGTGCTGATGCCTTGGTGAGCAATTTCGTGCCTGTGTACAGTCAACGCATGCATTTCTCAGCTCTAGTATATACATCTAACTTTCAAGTTTGAAAGCAATCTACTGTAAGGTCTGCCTCTGAGTGCTAGAAAAAGCCTTTGAGGTAATTATGCCATCTAGGTGAACAAAAACACACAGTCACACCAACTATACAACTGCATGCCACGGTTGTACCAAGGTCGTTACGCAGTTAAGCAGGAATGACCGCGGTCACTGCATGCAATATACAGTTTAGAGCACCATTCCACAGAAATGTTGCCATGTCATAGCGCAGTTATGCACAAACAAACAGTTGCGGAAAACATTTGTGCAATATTGCATGCATAAGCAGGTAATTGTGGGTGGACAACTCTGCCATGTATTACTAAGCATAGACTCTCCAGTCTGCGTAAGTTGGCACTGGAGTGCGCAGAAGTTGTGGTTTTTGCAGCCGTCACTGTCTGTACGCGCTTTTACTCGTATTGGTCTGTAAGTGCATTTACTCACATCATTTTACACACACCTGTACATTTTAAAAGAAGTTTGATGTGTCTGTGCGTTGCCTATTACTGGTACTATTGTGCCGTAGCACAGTTTTGGGGTTTTTGTCTTTGCCTTTCTTGTGTTGCTGTATTGCAGACTTCCTGCCCAACTGCTGAGCTGCCTGTAGGCTCAGAGGTAGAGCACTCGTAAGTGAGGTTCGCGCCCTACCCTACTAGGAAGCTGGTTTTTCTTCGGTGCCATTGATATGCACCTGGTACTACAGGCTACAAGGCGGCCCATGAGCGATGCCAACAGCTGTAGCTGAGTACCTGCCTATACTGCAAGAGTGTCGTGGGTTAGAATCCCACCCAGGGCTGCTCACCCTTGCTCTTTAGGGGGGAAAGAGTTCTCCTGGGTGCAGTTGACTTGTTTGCAGGTTCTGCCTATGCTGGGTCCGGCACGTATAAGCCCGACCAACGCTGAAAGTCTCCCGACCACTCCTAAATAAAAGGCTGGGCTGGTGCCTTCCGCCCGTATAGTACGCATCTAAGCAGCGATTGAATGAATATCTGCAATGGAAACGGTGGCCTCCCTGCGGCTCTAAGATGACACTTGGCTTTCTAACACACGAAGAACGAATCTAGGCTTCGTCTGCGCGCCTACACTAGTATAAACATGCAAACAAAAAGGCGCACACGAACGCGAAAAAGACCACGCGTACGCGTTAATTTCGCGCATGCGCATTTACGCGCGCATAGGGACTGTTTTCCTAACTCCACAACTAAATAATCCCTGGGCAGAACCCTGTGTTTGCTTTGGACCTCGTCGTGAATAAAAACATACGCTAAAGTGCACTCACAAAACATTGCGAAAATAGAGTGGTGGGGTCCGAAACCAGGCATGTAAGTGCATCCTTACTTTTTTTAATTTCAACTTCTCAGCCTTTTCCTCCTTCTCACATCTTTTGGCATTTCTAGCCATTTGCTTTGATGAAAACTGTAAAAGGAGCAAAAATTATATAAACATGCTGAATAGCAGCTGAATTTTAGCTGACTTCAAGTGTCATAAGTGTGTTCACGAGGATGATGCAATAACCACTTAAGGTTGCATATATAGTACACACTGAATGCAACACATTAAAACAAGCATCAGCGAAGAGTATTCTAAATAATTTATTTGTGGTGACAGTTTTTGGTCCTAAAAGGCTGCGCAGAACTAACTGGGCTTTGCTCACGGTTGCAAGTTATGAAACAGAGGCCGTTGGCAAGTTCTGTTGTGGCAAAGCTCTATGCACATACGTCTTGAGCATCAACCATCAACGTTCTGGCTTCGCCGTAAGTTACCTACAGTTCTGTAGCGCTGTAGTCCTCTCTTCAGACCGCACCTTCACATATTATAGGCAAACCGAGTGTTTGAAACACAGCAGACTAGTCATCACAAAAGCGAATTTAATGTACACTTAAAGTGTATATGCTTCCCGATTATATATACAGTTTTCTACACCTCAGAAGTCATCTGACAAGCATAAATAACACTATGCGTGTGCTGTTCCATAATAGTTTAGCCTAATGCCTTAACAAATATCTTGCACATGGCAGATGGAGAGTAACAGACACTGTCATACTGCACCATTATGGGGATAGTCCCCATTAGTACACACATACATTATAAACTACCTTCAAATTGAAGAGATGTTCTTTTCAATAAATTGAGGGTTAAGTATCATCATGATGAATTTTTGTGCACAGGTTATACGTACCCTTCCTGTTATACATAGGAACAATATCGCTAGGAAATATCAACATATTATTACGACTCCTATTCATACATACAATATTGGGCAAACGGAGTCGAAGTATGCATGTGTTAAAATTAACGCGCTTTGCATTATCTGAAGCCTGTTCTCCTGGTGCAGTAGTTCTCAGTACAGTCCTAAGAGGATTGGCAGTATATCGGGCTAAATTCAGAAAAAAATTCTTTCCATCATTTCTATAATAATAGTCTGTTACATTTCCTTTAATCGAGCATCAAAGCCTTTTCATATACTCTAGTAACACCTCTGCGCGCATTTCCGTGTGGGGTTTACAATTGGACTGCTCACAGACACACGATCTACGTTTGTTACAGGTAGAGATCTCCCTCCGCTCGACCAAAGAATGCCAAGATTTATAATTAGCAGGCAGAGCACAGTCCACGGGGGCAAAGCTAAAGCCAACATACAAGAGTTAATGGCAGTGCCTGCGTAGACAACCCTAAACATACTAAGCCCCTAGGTAACACTGCAGCTCTTCAGGCACACGCAAAGACTGGGAGAGTTAGATCCTTATGTAGGCTTTCATTAACTCCCAGATACTTAGATTATAACCTTGAACAAGCAATAGGAAAATCTTCCACTCATAACTCACAACCTAACACAAACCATGCTTTCCTCCAACTTTCTAGACACACGAAACCCTAAAAATTCTTTCCCAAGAAACTCTCACAGCTTAGCAATTATCCTCAATAAAAATCCTGCTAATTTTAAAAGGAGGAGAGAATATAGGGATGGCATAAACAAAAGCATGGGTAAACAGATTGTGAAAATAATGATACTCGCGAGCCTGCCACACCATCCCTATATTTTTGCCTGGTGTGTCATTCTCAATAGGAGAGGTGGCACCAAAGAATGGGCTTTCCCACTCCTTACAACAGCATTGTCACTTGCCCTTACAAGCCACAGCTCCTGCCTAACATATTATGGTGACTGTCACACTGACTCACACACAAGCAAAATGACTCGGTAGAACTTCCACTGAGTGGGAAGTGACCGACGTGCTACGCTGACTGACAACTAGGCTACACTGCACTTACTATAGGAGAGGTATTGTACAACATCAACTTTTATGGCCTACACTACCACCACCGATCTATAACGTATACTTATACTTGTTTTCGCTGTGGATACTATCCATCTCTGTGGCGACCTCACGCAGCAGGACTCGTGCAGGGCAGGGTGATCCAAGGCGGGCTCGAAAACTCAAAAGCTGGATAGTCACATGACATGCATGACCGAACTTGTATGTCGTCATCATGACCCTATAGGCAATAACGCGTATATTATTATTATAATCGCCCCAGCTTCTCTAGCTATAAATTTGCTGGGATCACGGGGCGTTTTGGGGTCCCCCCACTCAGCCATGAAACTAATACCTTGATCCTGCCGTTCGGCGACGTCTCTAGCTAGTCACTGTTGCGTTGCGCATAACAATAATGTTGTCACCTTTTGACCTTTAGGTTCACTCTAGCGTAGGTTTATGGAACCTGAAACTGCTACGACGCCTGAGCCTCATATAACTTCCCTGCAACAGATACAGTCATCGTGTACTGGAGCGCTGATAACCTCTTTGCTCACCACCCCCTTTGATGTTGTTCGTGTCCGTTTGCAAGCCCAGCAGCAAGCTGCCTTGACTAAAGCATGCTACCTGATGGATTGCAGGTGCCTGGATGGTGTGACTCTTTGCTACATCACTCCGAAGGCCGAGCTTATTCTCCGAGACTAAATGGCACGATAGATGCTTTAATGAAGATTGCTAAATTTGAAGGAATAACATCATGGTGGAAAGGTCTCTCACCAACATTGTTGATGGCTGTTCCTGCTACAGTCATTTATTATACATTCTACGACCAACTGAAGGTCACTTTGGGATTTAAGTCACAACAAACTAACTTTCTAGCACCTGCGATTGCAGGATCCATTTCAAGGACTGTTGCTATAGCCTGCGTTACTCCACTGGAGCTTTTACGTACCAGATTCAGTCACAACAACACTATCGCTATCATCAACTGTGGCGTGTAATACATGCCTCTATTCACAATGATGGTCTCTTGAGCCTTTGGAGAGGGCTCTTTCCAACATTACTACGTGACGTACCCTTCTCTGTTTTTTACTGGATTAGCTATGAATTTCTAAAACATGAAATGGGCTCTCTTCAGCATTTCCACAACTCACAACTTGTACCTCTAATAGCTGGTGCAATTTCTGGAGCAACAGCAGCACTGGTGACAAATCACTCGATGTTGTAAAAACCCATATTCAAGTGAGCCTAGGCACAAGACGCCTTTCACTGTTAGAAGTTGTAAGGGATGTTGTTTCAGAACATGGAATTTCTGGACTCTACACTGGGCCTTGTACCACGCGCATAGCTAAATTGCTCCTGCTTGCGCAATTATGATTTCAACATATGAATCATTCAAGATATACTTCACAGAGAAAAACAGGGAAAAAACACTGCAATGATTGCATTATTGCTATTGTATTATGTTTATGTGATGTAATACTACTACTGAGCTATTGCTTGAAAATTGAATGTCATCATTGGTGTGTTGATGTATGGAATAAAGAACAAAAATAACCTTTGGTCTTTGTTGCAGAAGCATTATATTCATCCTACTTTTTTGGGCCTTATACTTTCCACCTATTATCTCTGCCAAGCAAAGGAGAACACTGGTAATTTGTTACATTCTTCAGCATACTATATGACGAGAGGTCCGAAAGAAGTAGTAACTATTGTAGATTGACATGTCACAGTGATATAGAAACCTCCACGACAGCAAGAAAATGTAGGCATGTAGGACCCACGAGCCCAATTCTGCACACACACGGTGTTGCTCAAGTTCTGTATCACCAACACCACCAACACTCTTCGGTGACAACGCACCGGTAAAAAATGAAAAGCTCCTCCACATGGCCTACCCTAGTCCAATGGCACCGTACATCAAGCAAGAGCAGAAAAATACGACTAATTTTTACGCCTGTGCAATTTCCAGCGTAAAGGGACATGGTGAGTCCAGATATGCCACATGTTCTTGACAAATACTGCAGTAGTGATAACAAGGTGGTCTCCACTGCATCCCAAACTCTGAAGGAGTTACTGAACTATCACCCATCCCTGGACTCTCGTAGCATTAATTTTTGGCACACTACCTGGATGTACAAACCAGCCATGTAGGATTAAGACGATGGTGAACCCCTATCCAAATGCAAAGGCGAGTGTGCCAAGACCGCAGAAAGGAAGCAAATGGCGGTCTATACAGTCGCGGTAAGAACAAAAGTACAAAATAACTCAACCAACAACAAAAAAAAGGAACTCATACGCTACAACAGAAGCACTTCATACACCAATGTGTAGTAACGGGTTCGACGCTTACACCCCGGAAAATGCACGCAGATAAGGATACCCCTAGTACAGGAATTTGCATCAGTCCGCGAGGCGAGACCGATCACGCCAACAACAAAGATGTCACATTTTTCCTCGCTCGACTGCAGCTCGCGAATGACCCAGAATAGAGAGACAAGACAATTATATAACGGGTGGGTCTGGTCACTCAGCGTGTTCGGACGACGTACTCCACAACGTCAAGGGCTGGCACACGTACCGTGCAGTGAGGCAAGAACAAACCCGGCCCCGCGCCTGCCCGCGCCGCGCCAGCCCGCGTCTTTGGCAGCGGCGGCGCGCCGGGGGCGCTGGTCTCAAAACTATCAATGACGTGATTCGCTGGGAGGATCCGGAGGCGCGTCGGCGCGCACCGGATCGATCGGAACGAACATTTGTGCGCACATGCGTGAAAGAGGGAAGAGCCACACAGCGCCAGCTATAATTATAGCTACGCTCTAACACACACAGCGCGCACTGTCGGTGATAAGCACGCGAGTCGGGACATAGTTAGCAGTAGTCCTGTCCCCAGTTGTTCCGACGACAAAAGCACGATCGAGAGTGCAGCAACCTTGAAGCCGAAGCAAAGAAGCGATCAGAGCGTTTGTTACGTGTTACTAACGAATTCCAGGGTACGCGCTGGCCGCTAATTTTCCTCCCCTCGATATCCCTTCCTTCCATCTCACGCATGCGCACAAAAGTAAGGTCTACGAAAGAACCCTTCAACCCGTGGTGGTGGAACAGTTTGTTTATCTCTGAGGTGGGCTAATCTGGGGGTCGTTGTGTTTTTTGATGGAAGACTTATCGGAGGGCGTGAAAGTTGCGAGGGAAAGTGCGTTAGTAGGGAAGTACGATGAATCAGTTGGATTTTATACTCGGGCTCTTCAGACCATTACTGAGTGTGTCAGGCAAATCCAGGAACCTGACAAGAAACTGAAATGGAGAGAGGTAGGTTATTTTGTTAAATCGCTGTTTTTCTGCATCAGCGATGCGCGCAATAAACTAGAATGGTGTTTAGAAAAACGTGCGATGTGGAGGCGGCAGGCAGCACTGGGTGTCATCTCTCGATCTCTGCGCCTAGACACTTACGCGCCCCCGCGCGAAAGGAGGTCGATTGTGCTCAACCAGCATGTGTATGGGAATTTCGTTCTAATATGGCGCGATAGTCATGGATTGTAGCATAGATCTGCACTTGTGCCCAGAGCAACCACCACCTTTATGTCACATGATGTTTTAACTAGGTGCCACGCCAGGATAATTTTTGCGTTTGCCATACCGTCACCAGGACATCGAGAATTATCTACGGATCCTAGACATATTTCACGTGGTAGCCCTCACGCCATGCGCGCCGAGGTGTTATCATTAACATTTTGGTGAACCTTTTTCGACCACTGTGTGCCTATTAAGTAGTGGTGTGCATGCAGTAGAGTTCAATGACTGTGACACTCTCTATAAAATATAAGTTTTGAATAACGTAGTATTAAGACTGGCGAACGAATTCTGTAGAGAGATCAAAGCAGCATTGTAAAAACTGGTTAGTTGAGTGACATTGAACTAAATATAGTCAAACGATTCAAAAACTGAGGACCTGTCAGAGAGGGCATGATTGCTACGCAGTTATCATACGTGCACTAGAAACGAAGCACTAACTGCACTCATACGAGTAGAGATTTCGTCGGCTTGGAGATGAAATTTAGCACGAGCAACGAAATGTCAATTTTAAGATGTGCATCATCCCATTGTACTAATCCATCACATGTTTGTCTGGCCAGCAGCCGTGCTGCATAACAATGTAAATAGTCAACGGTCACAAGCTCAAAACGTCTGCTATGTTGTTATCACACCAAATTTCACCTGCCACCTAACCTAGCCACCCGACACAGACGACCCCCAGGGTAAATAATAAAAAAAGAGGTCAACAAAAGAACCTAGAGTAGAAGTAACCTCCCCCCCCCCCCCCAGTTCCCCCCGGTCTCGGGTCCCGGTCGACCCCCCTCCCCCTCTGTGTGCCGCGTCCCCAGCTCCCGTCTCTCCCGCGCTAGTCTCGCCCCCCGTAGCTAGCGAGTGTCCCGACTGAAAATGACAAGTTCCTCAAGTGTGTCTTATAGCGCACGGATTTGGTAATGTTAGCGCTTCGAGTCCCCGGCTGGTACGGAAAACGTAAAATTACGATCCCGGCACCAGTACTTTAGACACAGGTATTTTTAAACCTAGCATCTGATTGGGTTACCCGTTTCCCGAACATGCTGATTCAGCACAACCAAGACATTCGACCTTAAAGTTTATTCAGACCCTCTTTGGCGCAGGAGCACGTGAGGGTCTGGGACAAGACTAGCACTGGTTGTAAAAGAGGAGGTCTGACCCGATCACGTGAACGTGAATATGCCAAGAATTCCAATCTATGTCGCCGGAAAGTAGAGGCCAGTGGACGCCAGTTGCACGACGACGGCACAAAAAATTGAACGTGGACTTCACGCACACAACAATTGTCACACACGGTCAACACCAAAACACACAGCACCACACGTCGACAAATCAGCACTGATTGCGTTCTAACGAGAAAATGGAACCGTCCGTACTAGAGCGGTCGCAGCACGTAGCTTTACCGCTGATGCTCTAATTTATAGTTTCACTTTTGCGATACAGTAACCGTACGATGTGTGAGAAAAGAACGGACGTCTAAGTTCCTCGTCGCGGAGATCTCTGGCTGAGAAAGGATAGTGGTTAGTATCATGCACTGAAATCGATGTGTTTTGTGTGCTCTACACCACATCCGCAACAGACCCTGGAACGCCTCTTTTCTTCACAACCGCGTTCGCTCCGGGCTGAACAGGCGAGAGCCGAGGTGGATTGTCAAATCTACACAGCTAGGTGCTAGTATGCTGCCCCTCTTAAGACACCACATTCACAGCTCTGTGTAGCCACCACTTTCCGTGAGCGACCGAGCAAGACTCTCAGCTAACCGGGAAAAGAGCTCGAGGGCTGTTGCACAGGTCTCGTCCACACGAGAACACCTGATATCAGTCATGCATACTACCCTCTATCCGTTCTCGCCCAGATCTCTCCGCGCAGGACCTCGACATCTCCTGTTAGTGAGACAGGCATGGCGGTCCTATCCTCCAGGTGCCGCGCTCCCACTGCTCAGACTCCACGTCGGTGCGTCAATCATTCCGCCCAGTACTGTGCCCAATGACAAAGCTCTCATACAGCGGACACATGTCCCTCCACTGCATGCCAGTTGAAGGCAGCTCCCACCCAGGAGCCACAACAGACAACATCTATAAGGCCAGAGGCCCTTGTGAGCCACAAGCTGTAGAGAGATCCAGTCCCCCTCTGACCTGGGTGTCTGGCGTACATACACGACAGTGCTCACCCCTGACCACCAGACGTGGCAACCTGTCCTCGCCTACGGGCGCTGTTGTCAGGAGGCTCAGCGCCATGTGGCCAGGATGACCGAGTATGACTAAGATATCTCGCCAGCATGCAGCGCTGACCGTGCGTGCCGTGGAATGAGCTCAACGCTAGCTACACACGCCTATACCTCATGACTACCGCTCGGCACACAGTCAAGTGTCTCTCGTGTGTTGATGTCACGATGCGCAGACTCGGTGGATGCCGGCTTCCTCGTGCCCTCCATCCTACTCCCAACCACCATCGTGGCCTCATCATCGGGAATCACTAGCTCTCTTCCCCTCCTCCCTCACTGGCCGCCTGCTCTTTCCCTCCTGCTCCCTCTGGTATATATATCTGTGCCCTTGCAAGCAATGCGCAGGGGGGCACTAGAGACCAAGGAGTGCGATGAGACTACCGGTGGAAGACCGGATGTAATACACATGCGGCATGCCATATGCAACATGACAGTGGCTAATACCAGATACCTTTACGCTATCATCATGGCGATGCTCGAACAGCACCACCTCATTATCAGCAGACAGGCGTAGCGCACAGCGTATTGCGGTTTCTACGGGAGCCTCCCACTCCAGCCACTGCCCAGGCAAAGGTGCCGTCCAGCCCTCAGCATGTACTCACCATCACCTTCTACGGATCGGTAGTTACCGGAGGTTACCCTACGTAACGCAGAGTACCGCCATGATGCGAGTGGGGCTACGGAGTTGTCAGCAGCCAAATGGAAATATCCAGGTAATATCAGTTTCTTTTTTAATCTAAACTACCGATAGTAACATCAAGCTAGTTAATATTACGCATGGCCACGCCACCCAAAAGCCAACGCATAAGGCGCGCTACTTAGTGCTATAGTCAGGACACCCAACCTCACGTGGTCCGGTTCTGTGCGACAGCCTACAACAGCAGACACGCTACAGGCACCCTGCGAGTTATTCTTCACCCTGTACTACCCCATTTCTATATTGTATGTTATTGTTCACCCATCAAAGCAGCGAAGCTGACATGTGGTCACGTGTGACAAGGCAGCTTGATGTGTGACGGATGTGGATACCTGCTGCAATGCCATCACACCTACCACAGACGGACTACTCACTTGTAGGGCATGAATGACCCCATATCCATATCAGCAGACAGCGTATGCGGCTTTGGCGGTCTACCCACTAGCCACGCCCAGGCAAAGGTGCGTCCGCCCTCGCATGTACTGAAATCCACAATCACCCTCCATACACGGATCGGTCGATTTTATACGGAGGTCACCCTACGTACCAGAGTTCAATCCATTGATGTGGATGCGGGCAATAGATTAGCCCCTCAGCAGCAGCCAAATCGAAATTCCAGGTAAATATATCAAACCACTAGAGTGTTATCTATGATACTACTTGTTGTTCAAAAGCTTCAGGGCTTCTCCTGAACTTGCTAATGGTAGCACACATGAGATGAAACTTGGTATGCATGCACGTTACATCATTTCCTGACGACCACATATTGTTCGTGAGTGTGGCACTAAGGTGACGATGAAGACTTCTGTAGTGGCTGGAGCTCCCTGATCAACCGCTTTGTGCCACTGCCATTGCCTCAACGTTTACTACTTTAGGTGGTGGAACCCGGAAGCTGCTGACTGTGTTGCCCGGGAGAGGCATCGGCCAGTTGATTAGCTCCACCGCTCACGTGTCAAATGTTGGTTGTAAATAGGCCTTTTCCTTTGTCTAAGATGATGGAATCTACATGCGTCAATGTGACGAAATAATGCTTTTTGACGTCACATCCAGAGTAAATTTTTTCGTTTGTGCGCCTGGATAGAATGTATGGTAGTCTACGGCAATAGCGCATGGTTTTGGACAGCGCACATGTGCTGTCCTGAGCTCAATCATCTATTTAAACGGTAACTGTATGAATAACATCTGCTCTCTGCCTTGTACTTTGTTCGGAGACAAACAAACGTCGCCCGTTCCAGCGTGATGATACAGCGCGTGAAGTTCGCTACTGGACTTAGACTTTCTCTGCGTGTTGGATTGACACACAAGACGGTAAGAGATTGATAAAACTAGTAACAGAACTCGGCGAGTTAGTCATGTGGTTGCTCTCCTCGTGTGTGTTAGAAACTTCTCATTGCATGTTACACAAGTACAAACAATGAGGTGTGAGATACATACTAGGTGAAAGCCTACACATGTGACGACCATGTTGCGCATAAACACCTAGACTCCCGTACATGTATACCATTATATTAGGATGCATATAAGAAGGGTTCAGGGGGAGAGGGGTTAGAGAGTGATCAGGTGACTGTGTTCCTGGAGCACCATATTTTGAAGGACTCCAGGAGAGTAGTTCGAATTACGATGCCACAGAGGGTTTCGATATCCTTACGAGGACAGCTGATTGCTGCTGCAAGGGGATCGGAGTCGGAGGAGCCCAGCATTCCCCGAGAACCCACCTCAACTGTAATCAGCTCAGTCCTGTAACCCGCTGCCCTCCCAGCTCCACCAGGTCCTGGTACTTCGCTTTTTTAAGCTCACAAGCTTTAGCTATGAGCGATTCGTAGC